TCCATCCAAAATTCATACTGTATCATTAAGAGATGGAACCTATAGAGGTGATTAGGTCATGAGGGTAGACCCCTTACAAATGAGCTAAGGTTCTAGTCTTCCTAAGTGGGAGAAATAAATTACTGTGGCTTATAAACCACCCAGTCTTTGCTATTTGTTACAGTGTTCTGAACTGTGGAAATGTTGTGTTTATCAACAAAGTCTTTCTTTTGAAAAGATTTCTTAGATCTTTGATACTGTCACTGTTAATCCCTACTAACACTGTTAGCCTCATCTCTTATCATTCTACCCTGTTCTTTTTGCCTTACTACAAGGAATTGAAGTTTTTTGATTTTGCTAAATTCTGATTTCCTTTCTTCTCCCACTCCCCATCTAGGATGCTCTCTGCATGCAAGATTTTTCTGCATTGCCAATTCCTATCTACTTTTAAGATCACAGACTAAGGTTCATCAGGGAGTGCTTATTAATTCTTCAAGTCTGGGTCATGTTGCTGCTAAAGTAGACCTTTGTTACTTTACCTCTTGGGACCAACTTGTACCTTTTATGCTCATGGTATTTTTGTCTCTATATTTAGTGATTGACTTCTTAAATTTTGGCCCTGTGCAGCTGCCTTCAGATAAGACAGAGAGACAGATTTCAAGCATAAGGATAACAAAATTTGTCACCTGCAGGAAAATGGATGTGTCTGGAAAGCACCATGTTGCATGAAATAAAGCAGACTCAGAAAGATAAATATTGTATGTTTTCTCTTATATATGGACTCAAAAGGGAGCCTATTGTTAGACAAAAGGAAGGGATTAAGCGGAAGGGAAGTGGAAGGGAGGCTAATGGGGGATGAATATGATAAAAATATACATATTTAAACCAGGCATTGTGGTGCATGTCTGTAATCCCAGCACTCTGGGAGGCTGAGGCAGGAAGATTACAAGTTGAGCCTAACCTAAGCAACTTACTGAGACCTTGTCTCCAAATGAAAAAGGATTGGGCAAATAGCTCAGTGGAAAGGTCCTACTTTCAACCATCAGTACAGAAAAAAAAAAAAAAAAAAAAAAAAAGGCAAAAAACCTCCCAAATTCATTGAAACAAAAACAGTACCAATAAAAAGTAAGTAAACCTACAAGTTTATCAGTATTAATTTATTCAACAAATGTTTATTGTTTGCCAAATTTAGTACTAGGTTATAAAAGTACAACTGGAAACAATACAGCCATGCTCTCTACTTTCCTGGTATTTATACTGTACTAGAAGAAAAAGACTAGCAAGCGGGCAACTAAGATACAGTGTATTGAACGTTATGAAAGAAATGACCCCAAAGTGCTGACTATTCTTCAGAAGAGGTTGTCTTTTCTTCAAGGAATGTTTTTAGCTCCCTTGTCCAGAATTAGAGGGCTGCGGTTGCTTGGGTTTGTTTCTGCAACCTCTATTCTGTTTTATTTATCCACATTTTAATTTTTATGACCATATTATACTATTTTTGATAATATAATTTCTTTGATAATATATTTCTTTGTAATATAATTTTAGATTGGGCATTGTGATGCCAGCAGCATTGTTCTTTTTTTTTTTTTTTTTTTTGGTGGAACCAGGGATTGAACTCAGGCCCTTATACTTGCCAGGGAAGTGCTTATTCCACTGAGCCATCGCCCCAGCCCAGAATTGTTCCTTTTGCTTAGGGTTCCTTTTGTTATTCTGGGTCTTTTGTGCTTCTACATGGATTTTGTAATTATTATTTCTACTTGTATGATGAATGTTACTAAAAATTAGAGAGAGATTGCATAGAATCTTTAGATAGCTTTTGATAGCTGGCCATTTTGACAGTGTTCAGTCTGCCAAGCCATAAACATAGGAGGTCTTTCTATCTCCCAGTGTCTTTTAAAATTTCTTTCTTATTATTCTGAAATTTTCATTGTCGAGGTCTTTTACCTCATTGGTTACATAGATACCTAGTTGGTATAGTTTTTTTTTTTTTCAGAAGCAGGGATTGAACTCAGGCCCTTGTGCTTGCCAGGGAAGTGCTTATTCTACTGAGCCATCTTCCCAGTCCTTGTTATAGTTTTTGAAGCTACTGGGAATGGAACTGTTTTCCAAACTTATTCCTCAGCTAACCCATTATTTGCACATTGGAAAGCTTTTTATTGTTGATTTTATATTCTGTTGTTGCTAATTTTTCTTGAAGTATTTGGAAGATGGTAAACCATTGACAAGAGATTCACTGAATAAATGAAGTAGTTCTAAATATCTAACTTTATTTTATACACATGCAAAGGCATAATTTAACCTTAACAGTCCATTTTAAGAGTGCTTCACAAGGAAAAGCATGGCTTCTTCCTCTGATAATCCAGTTATACAATAGTATGCGCGCGCGCGCGCGAGCGCGCGCGCACACACACGTCCAGGGATTCAGACAAAGATGTTAGTTACATTGTTGCAGGCAGCCAAATTAGATAGAAATATTACAGGTGGCCAGACAGGGTTAGGCCCTGGAAGGAGATAACACAGGAGACAAGATGCCTTACAACTGTGAGAGGGATGGATACTCCAGCTGTGAGCCAGAGACCAAACAAATGCTGACCTCCTTAAAGATTAGCATCCCAGATTGATCATTAGCCTGAGAAAGCCAGAAAGAATCCTTATCTGATGGCTATCAGATAAGATCCTGTTTTACTTTCATGCCCTCTTGCTACCTGACTCCCTTCCCCATTTGGTCCCGGACTTAATCACTTTTACCTGAGCAATGGTGCTTGTAATCCCATTGGTTGATCATAGTTTTGTCCCACCCCACATCCACCTAAGTGCCTTCCCATTCTCTCCCTCCACTTTAGCCCCACACGGTTTTACACTATAAAAGTTCCTGGAAGAGACAGCTTCCTGGGGAGCAACCCGCTCAGGGCCCCCCCACCTCTGGTCCCTCTCTCGGACAGGAGCTTTCTTTCCCTCAGTAAATACATTCTGCTCATAACCTCCGTTTGTTCCTAAAATTAATTCTTTGGTTTTAGAGAACACGAACTCGTGCAGGTCAGGTCAGGAGATCATTTTTCCCTATGTCGTTTGGAGGCTCCCTGTATCACTGGGTCACCCACCCAAGATCAGTTTTTCTCCCTATATCAACATCTCTAGCTACTTTTTCTTTTTTAAGGTTAAAAGATGTTCCTATCCAGTTGCATATACTCACATTAAACATTCCAAGGTACTAAGCTGCTGTATGATTTCTTCTTTTGGAGACTTTTCCAGTAAGTTCCAAAGTATTTCTGATGAACGAAACAGAAGCTGTCCAGAGGGATCTGGATCATTGAGGTGAACACAGATTCTGCTGGCTGCTTGTGCCTTCACCATTAAAGCACAATTAACTTCTGGAAAGAATTTTAAAAATTATTTATGTAGCATTAATCTTGTTGAATGGGTACAAAAATAATTGACAATGAGGTGTTCAAATGTAATAACAGGATACAAACCAGAAGTTGAGAGATGTTGCAGAACTTTAAGCACCCAAAGTTTCTCAATGAGTTGATTTTCAAGCAAGGTCATTGACTGAACCATTGTTTTTGCCAATCCTCCGACCTCAGCCATTTTAGCCTTGTACGATGAACTGGCTTGCTGGTAACCTAACACAATTAGTAAATCTATAGGGTTATTCCACAAGATGATAATTAAGACAAAGGAATGATTAACTTCTTATTTAGTGGTAACAACAACAAAAACTTCATGAAAAAATGTAGAAAGCACACGTTTGGGCAAACCTTTTCTTTAAAGAACCAGATAATATGCACCTTAGATACACAGATTTTAAGATTTTTATCTTCTTAGAGTGTTGCATCGTATTACGGTAGCAAAAAGACAGCCACAAATAACAGCAAAATCAAGGTGCACAGCTGTGTTCCCATAACATTTTATTTGTAGTGCTAAAGTCCATAGTTTGCTGATTCCCGGAGTTGCAGCTGAAATAAGATTTCAAACCCTGGAAGCACATTGCAATTCCGAAAACAAAAGTTTTTATTTCTCCGTAGATGTAATTTTCAGGTAAAAGGAAATGGGATAATTATAAACACTGATTATTTTCACAATTCAAGACAGTACTTACCTCTGTGATTTCAAGGGGAAAAAATTACATGGTGTGAGCAGTCAAGAGCAAAATATGTTTTGATAAATTGTCATGAGTGAAATGGTATTTGGGGAAGACTGATTCTTGGAATGTCTCCTAAGAATCCCCTTCTGCCTTAAGTTCTATATCAGTTGGATAGGTGCCTGGATAATTACATTTTAGTAAAAAAGATTAAATAAACACGGGGCAATAAATACTTGCTCATCTGCGATAAGACTTTTTTTGGTGATCTCACTTATCTAACTCCCTCACAGCTTGTCTTTTGAGACTGATTAGATTTCTTTGCAGTATTTGTTTTCCTATAATTTCACCATCTAGAGATAAGACCATAAATGTTTTAAAATATTTCTTGCTGGTGCTTTTAATTTATGCACATAATCTTATATTCTAAAGTAGCCCACTAAATTTGTGATAAGCTTTTTCCTAAGCTATAAATTATTTTCCCAATAATGATTTTATTTGTGTAATAGTCTATTACATAACTAGTAAAAAATGTGCTTTCTATTTGCCATGTATTTTTTTCTATTGAGTTTATGTTTCTATAGGAGGATATGATAACATAAAGGCTGCTAGACCTGATTCCTATCTCCAGAGCTATGTTTCTTCCAACTGCTCTAGGGTGGAATTTCTGGCTGCGGTCCTGGATGTCCTCTCATGCCAATCATTTGAATCCAACTATGTGACAGTTAGAGAGAGCACTGTTAATGACTCTCAAGCACTCCTGTGTTAACTTGTGCACCACTAGCTTCTTTTTTTTTTAAAAAAAAAGGTATCTAGAGTAAGAAATACAAATGGCCAACAGATATATAAAAACATGCTAACATTTCTGGCCAATAGAGAAATGAAAATTAAAAACAAAATTATGATTCCAGCATCAGACAGCATTATGCAATATAACAACCATCATTGAATTCCTATTATTTTCTTTAGTGAAATTCTGTATTGTTTCTATTTTTTTCACTATTTTCATTCTCTTTAAAAGGAATAAAAGGAAAGCAGTATGAAAAGAAAAAAAATTGCCCAACTAATAGCTCATTCAGGAAAGCATGAAGTAATCTGAGATTTACATGGTATTACTGTCTTTCTGAGTTCTGAGTAAAATACAAATTTAGATTCCAGAAAGAATGGCAATCATTAAGAAATCAAGCAATAACATGCTGGAGAGTCTATAGTGAAAAAATAACTCTCCTTCATTGTTGATGGGAATGTAAACCAGTACAACCATTATGGAACTCAGCATGCAGATTTCTCAAAGAACTGAAATTAGAAATTCCATATGACCTGATGATCCCTCTGCTGGGTATCTTCCCCAAAGAGCTCAAGACATCATACTACAGCAATACATGCATACCAGTGTTTATAGCAGCACAGCTTGAAATAGCTAAATCCTGGAAACATCCTATGTAACATCAACAGATGACTGGATAAAGAAAAGGTGGTATCTACATGTAATGAAATACTACTCTTCAATAAATGACAGATTTGACAGCTTTGTAGGAAAATGGATGCACTTGGAAAGTATCACATTGCATGAAATAAACCAGACACACAAGCTTAAAAAAAAAAAAAAAGATTTTCTGTTTTCTGCCAAGCTTGTGCTCTTAATTCCATCTTCTCATATCTTTTTTAAAAAGAATTCATTCTTTCATTTCCCACTCACTAAATTCTAGCTCTTTTGTCTATAAACTTTATTTACCCACTCTAAGAACAGCAAAACCCAAATAACCTTTTTTTAAAATTTTGCTATCAGTTGAGTTATTTTCCATCTTGCTTCTTTACAAATTCACCTTAAAATATGAGTCTATGTTCATGAACTAGCTGTACTCTCTCATTCTCAAACTTACAGTCTCTACTCTCGCAGCACTCATTCTTTAGACCACATCTGCTATGACTACCTTATCATAGATCTGTCAAAGATGAGTTATAGACTTTAAGATAACACATTAACTTGATCTTTCCATCTTCTTTTGCAGATACTTCTGCAGCATCTGATGCTTAGACCACCTCTTCAAACATCTCATCCCTGGCACAAGATGTGGTAGTCTTTAGATGCTCCTTCTTTTTTCAATCTCCCTTCATTGCAAATTCTTTGGATCATTTTTTTTCCAAACCATAATATAGGCACTCCCTTTGATGTCATTCTTGATCCCTTGCTGTTTATATGCTTTATCTTCTGACAAAATCAACTACTGATGGCTTCAGTTTCCATTTCTATTCCAAACCTGTATTTCTGGCACCTGTTCCTTTCCATAGCCAATGTTTAGTCCCAATTGCCAAACATTTCTACCAGACTGATATTTTAATATGATATCTAGTTATCTATGATTATATTATTAAAGAATATATAATTTAATCTACTATTTATATCTTCTCTCCCTTTCTAGATTAAGTATAAAGGGTACTCTACAAAGGTAAGAGGTCTTAAATAACATTATATTCTCACAATACAAATGCCTTCTGTCTTGATATTACCCATTTTAGTGTGGCTTAGTTTGCCACTATATATCAAAATTCTTTATTTGTAACATACAGAACTCTTTTCCCAAACACAATGGTGAATGGTACAAATATTAGAAATTTGTCATCTAATTGAGTGAATGTTGATAAATTTTTAAATAAGTGAGAAAAATAATTTTATTATAAAATTTAAATAACATAAAATCATTATTATAAGCTTATTTACATGTGAATTTATTATGTCATAAACATCTGGCAATAAAAATCACAAGGAAATCCAAAAACTGAAAGACAACTAAAGAGGTCAAGACTACACACAAAAAAAATCCAAGAGTTTTTATTTTTATTGATTGGATTTGTGAGCTCTTTTCAGAAGAAAGTGAGATGATAGATAATTGAGACTTCACCTGGAATATGCTTCTTCGGTGGTTCTGCATGATAAAAGCTGACAATACACTTACAAATTTGTATTCTCAATTCAGAGCTTGGTATTTTCATTAAGTCACCTGCCAGAAGGATAAATGAATGCTATGTAATAACGCTGCTGTAGGTTCTCTGCAAAGTTAAAGCACAAAGTATTATACTTATAAAAGCATTCTTATCTGGGATTCAAACTGGATCCCAGCATTTTTACCAAGACACACCTACTCACACTCATGTGTCACTTGGGAAATCTGTCACAAGGCAATTTCATTGTGTGAACACTAGAGTGTGTATGTAGGCAAAAACAAGATTAAGTCAAGTGGAACAGAACAATGGTGCAATCAAGACCCATGGTGAACACCTGATGTAGAAGGCTGCTGCTGGCACAACATGCTGTGCTGCTTTATAGTTAACTTTTCTTTAATTAAGAGTATGTCCTAACTGATAAAAATATAGTAACTCTATAGGTCCATAACACTGGTGTTCATTATCAAGCATATACATGATTGATTGTACAGGTGTGCACTATATTTTTATATAATTTGAAATGCTGAAGGTTTATTTATACCAGTATTATCACAAACATATGAGTAATGACATGTACTAATTTTATGCTAAATTTTAATTCTGTGGGACCACCCATCTTATATGTATGTGGCCTGTTATTGACTGAAATGTAGTAATGTGGTGCATGACCATATATGCACACACACACACACACACACAACAACAACAACAATCTGAGTTTATTCTTATATACTTGGCCCCTCATTCATCAGAACAGAATGATGACTGATAACATAAATGCTGGAGTCAGACATTTATCTGTGTAAACTTGTGTCTTAGCTTTCTTATCTATTGAGTATAACAGTAGAGCTACAGTACATTCAAAGTGATGAGGATCAGGTGAGTTAGCATGAGAGAAAAGGGCTGAGAACAGCATCTACCATATATCTGGCATATTTGTGAGTGCTACTTATATCAGCTGTTATCTCTAAGACATAAGCTAGCATTTTTCTTTTGAGTTGCCTAGTCAGCAGTTAGTTGCCATTAGTAATACGTCATATCCTTAAAGTTCCAGGTGAGCTCCCCTCTTCATTTTGCTGTCAAACTAGAAGAAAGAGTGTTCAGGAGTCTTTGTCCAGCAAGTAATTGTTTTATGTTCAAGTTATTGGGGTTGGAGAATAGGGAGGGTTCCCTTCAGCCATATACAAACTACTACTGCACTAGGCTTAGCTTGTAGACTAATTGAAACTGTATTAACGTACAGAGATGATCCTCAGGACATTCTGAAGATAATCTTTGGACTCTGCAAGTGACCTGTGCTCTCAGCATGCATGAGGACAACAAGAATTAGTAGCATTAGTGTTAGGATTGAACTCAACCTGGTAGAGTCTCTGTGAGCAAAGCTTGAGAAGGCTCCTCGCAAGATCTGAGCATTGGCCTAGGCCTTGTTCATGTCCAGTCAGCAGGGAGGAAACAAGAAGACAAGGAGGGGAACACAAAGGAAAGCCTCATCCTTGGTTAGAGAGAATTTGGCAGATGTTACTTTAAAAAAGTAAAGGTTATTCCTCCAATTTTGCATTGCACATAATTTTTTTGAAATTTTAAAATCACTATTTAGGTTGTGAAAAGCTTTAGGTGACAAGAACAATTAAGCTTTTCAGACAAAACTAGACAAATATGCAAACTTATGGTAAATTCTAGGGTTTTTCATGTGCTTCTCTACCATTTTATTTCTTGTAAATTGAAATTATTTCTCACAGCTTTGGGTAGAGTGCCAGTTTTTTCCCTTACACCTTTCCAGAATCCTGCTCCTGAATTACAATTATCTATATATAATTTAGAAGAAAACATGACTTACTAGTACACAGTAGAAACTGCAAGCTATTGTGACAGTCATAAATAGCTCTGTTCAATACTTCATACTATATACAAGTATTTCAGTTTAAACTTACACTTCCAAGAATTAAAAAAGGGGAAAGATCAGTATTTGCAGTAAACAATAAATAAAGGGAGCTCATAATATGTGTAGAGTTTGTTCTGCCTTGAAATGGTAATACATAGGCTGATTCTCACAGGCCCGAATGCTGGCCCCAGCTCTGCCCTGTAGCATAATAAATGGCTAATCAGGTGAATGGTAATGCAGTACAGTTAAAAGAAGAGGAAGAACCAATAGACCCTTCCAGAGTAGCTCACACAGAACACTACAAGACACTGATAGAGGCAGGCTTCCCACACAACGTGGCAGAAAGACTTGATGAAATATTTCAGACAGCATTGGCAGCTTATGTCAATCTTGATGAAAGAGCAATTGATGCTCTCAGGGAGTTTAAGGAAGAAGGAGCTCTGTCTGTGCTGCAGCAGTTCAAGGAAAGTGACTTATCACATGTTCAGAATAACAGCACATTTTCATGTTGAGTTATGAAGACCTTCAGGCAAAGAAAGACACAGGGCAGCAAAGTGCAAGAGTTCACAAAGGGACCTGTTGAAGCAAAGATCAAGGCCTTACTTGAAAGGACTAGTTACACTCCAGATGTATCAACAGGACAAAGGAAGTATGGTGGTCCTCCACCAGACAGCGTGTACTTGGGTGTGCAGCCCAGAATTGGAACAGAAATCTTTGTAGGTAAAATGCCAAGGGATCTATATAAGGATGAATTGGTTCCCCTTTTTGAAAAGGCTGGTCCCATTTGGGATCTACACCTTATGATGGACCCACTGTCTGGTCAGAACTGAGGGTATGCATTTGTCTCCTTCTGTGGAAAGGAAGCTGCACAAGAAACTATTAAACTGTGTGACAGCTATGAAATTCACCTGGGAAACACCTTGGAGTGTGTATTTCTGTGGCAAACAACAGACTTTTTGTTGGATCTATCCCAAAGAATAAAACTAAGGAAAACATTCTGGAAGAATTCAGTAAAGTCACAGAGGGTTTGATGGAAGTTATTCTGTATCATCAACCCAATGACAAAAAGAAGAATCGGGGGTTCTGCTTCCTTGAATATGAGGATCACAAGTCAGCAGCACAAGCCAGACACTGGCTGATGAGTGGAAAAGTAAAACTATGGGGAAGTGTAGTTATAGTTCAATGGGCTGACCCTGTGGAAGAACCAGATCCAGAAATCATGGATAAGGTGAAAGTTTTATGTGTGAGAAACTTGGCTACTACAGTGAAAGGAGAAATATTGGAAAAAGCATTTTCTGAATTTGGAAAACTGGAAAGAGTACAGAAGTTGAAAGATTATGCATTTGTTCATTTTGAAGACAGAGGAGCTGCTGTTAAGATTATGGATGAAATGAAGGGGAAAGAAATAGAAGGGGAAGAAACTGAAATAGTCTTAGGTAAACCACCAGACAAGAAAAGAGCACCAAGCAGCTAGACAGGTCTCCAGAAGTACTGTACATGCAGATTATTACTATCACCCTCCTCTTCGAATGCCACCTCCAATTAGAGGTCCAGGTCATGGTAGAGGTAGAGGTGGATATGCCTACCTACCTGGTGGAGGTAGAGGTGGATATGGCTACCTCGCAGATTACCATGACTATTGTGGAGGCTACGAAGATCCCTACTATGGCTATGATGATGGCTATGCAGTAAGAAGGAGAGGAGGAGGAAGGGGAGGGTGAGGTGCTTCACCACTGCCAAGATAGCTGGCCTTCACAGAGGGAGGCACCTTCAGGATCATGAAGAGGCTCTAGGGGTGGCAGAGGGGGTCCTGCATAAGAGCAGAGAGGCCATGGCTCCTGTGGAGCTTGGAGCAATTGTGGGGCAATGTAGGAGGCAAGAGAAAGGCAGATGTTACAACCAACCTGATTCCTAGTGTCATCAGACCAACAACCAACAGAACTGGAGTTCCCAACTCATTGCTCAGTAGCCGTTTCAACAAGGTGGTGACTATTCTGGTAACTATGATTACAATAATGACAACCAGGAATTTTATCAGGATACTCATGGACAACAGTGAAAATAGAAAAGTGAGGGATTATAAATGATACCGTCAAGACACAAATGGCTCTAGATCTACGTTCTTCAAAAAAAAAAAAAAATTGGCTTAACTGTTTCAACTTTTTTTTTTTTTTTTTTTTTTTTGGCGGAACCAGTGATCAAACTCAGGCCCTTGTGCTTGCCAGGCAAGCGCTTATTCCACTGAGTCATCTCCCCAGCTCCTTGTTTCATCTTTAAGTAGCAATTTTCTGCCATTTGTACAGGACTAAAGAATCACTATTGCGTATGTACTCAAGTCTTTGTTTTTCTTATTTTCATAAATGCTCTTGGACATTATTGGGTTTGCAGTTCCCTTATTTTGGGGGTTACAATGCTTTTATCATTTCAGACTTCATTTTAGTTTCAGAACAAGTTGTTACATCATGGTTTTGCAGAACCTTTTGTTTGGACAGTCTTTTTTTTGGATTTGAGATATATTACATTGTGGGAGGCACAATAACCCCAGGCCTCCAATACTATTACAAGTGAGTCTTTCTAAATCCTGTGAATCTGCCACATCATGACTCCATGCCACATATCCCTTAATGGTCACCTGAGTGCCTCTGACCTATAAAATTCTCTTGGTGCATCACCGTCATTAGTGATGCTGACTTCCTCTTCCCCTACCTCTGCTGAGCTAGGTTCCTAGTTCTTACCCTGCCTATTTCCCATAAGTCTCCTGCTATGCCCCGGAGGTGGGACTTCCTGTCATAGTCCGGTTGCCTCCTTACTCGCGCTTTTTACCCGCTGACGTCATTTCCCTATGCCTCCACTATATATAGCCAGAGTTTCCTTTGAATAAACAAGACTTGATCAGAATGCTGTCTTGTCTTCATTTCTCGCATCTCCTGTCCTTTGTCCCCTCCTCAATTCCCCGCTTCTCTCCCAGGTGACCTTCGTTGACTGACCCGCTGGTTCGGGACATTACATAGGATTATGAAGTATACTGCACATAAACATATAAGTGAGTGCTTTGTCTTAGTAATTTTAATAAATTAAAGCAAAAAATTTAAGTTTTCCTGTATTGAAAATAACCTATGACTGTATGTTTTGTATTCCTACGTAGGTTAACTGTGTTTTTAAATTGTTACAACT